GAACATGTTAAAACATGTGCTAAGTTTAGTTGGATGCTGTGCAATCATACTGTTATTTAGTTGCTGATGGTCTAGTGTTGTATTAAGGGAAATTTTGGTTATTGTAGTTAAAGGTTGTTTGGAATTTCGGAATTGCTAAAACATGTTGTTAAGTTGTTCTTCCATTATTTCCAAGTCAGTGTCTGGAACAAGCTTTAACATGTGCTAGATGTTGTTATCATCATAAGGTGTTGGAAAAGGGGAAATTTGTATTACTGTTAAGGTTTATTTGGAAATTTCAAGACAGTAAGGTTTTTGGGAAACTTTAATATTTGGTTTAAGGTTTATGTAGTGTTTGGAATTTGTCAGAACTTGTTATAACATGTGCTGACCATCACTACAATTTTAGAAGACAAACTGTGAGTTTTAGGTGTTGTCGGTTTTAGTTGGTGGTCTTTGTAAGGTGTGAACTTATTGGGAAATTTCGATTTTTAAAACTGTATTAATTATGTTCGAAATTTGTAAAAACGTGAGCTGAGTTAAATAGAAAACTGTTAAAGTAAAGTGTGATTTTGTTACCTTTGCAAGGTGTTGAGAAATTTGTTTGTGAACTGTTGATAAAGAAAACCTTTATAGTACAAGTTGGTGGTCTTGACCGTGAAATCTCCGTTTATTAAAACTCAACTTAACACACAAGCCTAATCTGTAAAAATACAAGTAAGACTCAACTGGAATGCTAAAGAAACCTAAGAATCCCATTAATACCTTTTTATGGCACAGAGATTTGGTAGAGAATATGGAATAACTTATCTTTCTTCTTAACTCCTTAACTGCCTCCAAACTCATTACACATTATATACAGACATTATACATTTCAGACTTCAATGTACGTATATAGTTGGTCTGATGTAGTTATTTAGAAGTTCCTGTTTCCATTATACTATTAATCTATTTAATTTGTGGGTTTTAGCCACATCTAATATCCAATACCCAGACTTTGATTCCTGTTTCAAATTGTCATTTCGAGCAGACGTTTGACTCAAAAATGTTTCTATGAAGCTGAATGAACGTCTTTTCCAACTCCTTCTAGTTTAAGTTTCGAAAATTCATCTGTGTCATGATATTAGTCATGATGTTGATCTGTGCTAAAGTTTATTTAAGGAAAGAACGACCAAATTCGTCTTCCTTAATGACTCCACAAAGAGAATGTGCTACAACATCATTTGTGTCTCCTTGTTTTGATTGTGATGGGTCAAAACTCTGCTCATGCCCCTAGGTTTCTGAAGGATTACTCCCACTAGTTTATCTAAAGCTATCAGAAATTCTATTCCACTTCATTCTAGTTACAGTTTTGCAACTTTATCTGTGTCACACTTGATCGTGAACTTCGTTTCGTGAACGTTTATTTAAGTAAAAAACTATCAAGGTCTTATTCCTTAATGACTTACTTATATATGTATTAGCTTGATCCAGTTTTCCAAAAGATTACTGTATCATTGAAACTCTTACTAGTTGATATGAAGCTTTATGAAGTTCTATTCCAACACTTTCTAGTTTAAGTCATGCAAACTTCACATACTATATCCTATAGATCAATTTATTATGTCTTGCATCATAATCTGTAGATCAATTGCTAATGAGGTTGAATTGAAGTGGTAGCGTACACTTATTCAAGTAAAGAACGATCAAGGCCTTATTTAGGTTGTGACTGTACCAAGATCAAGAGGAAATTCAGACTGCTGGTACAAAAGAGAAAGTGTCAAGTGAAAGTTTTTAGCTTTATGAACATATTCATATTAAAAAAACATGTTCCTTAGTTTCAATGGTTCGATAAATGTTCCTAAGTTTAACTTTCGGCATTTCGATAGTAGCGGCTAACTTTCAGGAGTTCTGTGTGATGATGATATTGATTTGATGTCAACGATCATGTTTAGCATCTAGTTTTCTGTAGGAGGAACATGGATTGAACCACTTTAATATACTTTTGCATTGCCTGTCATGATCATTTTTAAACTGATCATTGATCATTGATTAAGTTTTCGAGTGATAACAAAATCCATATTCTTTGACGTAAATGTTGGTCCTTTGCCACAATTTAGTCTGTTAAATGTTCAGCAGTTTATGTAAATTGCAATCATAGGATCTCAACGATCATGTCGTTACTTTTTTGTAGAAGCAGTATAATAATGATTGAACAAATTCTATGTCATCCGCTTTAGAGGATGACAGGTTTGAAAAAAAAAACGGGTTATATTCTAAGATATCAATGTTAGTGTTTGACTGCGGTTTAAAGAACTAATTGATCCTCAGCTTTAATATCTCGAGAGAGTAGGAGAAGTAGCAGCAACTGGTTATGTGTCATTTGTATGAATATAGTTAGCGAAGATGTACCGCTTAGTATCTTTCAAGGAGACGATCAGCATGTATAATGACAGATCCAATCACATGTTATTTTACTATATCAGTGATGAAAATTACGAAGCTACTTCCTTGTTACCTCTTTTACCCTGATCAAGTGACTTCAAGGAGATTTTGGTGATGATGATTTCAATTTGATCCCAACAATCATCATGTATAATGACTGATACAATTCAATGTAATTTTCCGACCTTGTTACGTTAAGTTAAAGCCTTTTTCTTTAGATGATTTCACTTTAAGAAAACGCTCGATGATTTCACGAACGGCTTTCTAAGACTTCAATGTTAGCATAGGTTTAAGCGACAAATGATCCTCAGCTTTGCTATTTTGAGAGAGTAGGATAAATAGCCAGTCATTATATTATACATTTAAATTCAATTAGTATTGCAAATAGATATTGCAATGGAAATTCTTTGCAATTTCTATTTGCAATAGAGAAAGATCATTTGGTTGTGATCATATCGAATGATCGATGTAAGGTGAGACATGCTTAATAAGATTAGGGCCTGCAAATATCGATCTTCAATGACTTTTTTTAACATTTCACTTAGTATTGGATCAGCTAAATGAAGAGTAATTTCATAAAGATCATATTTAAAAAACTTGTTGATGAAGGATTGAACTGACATGGTTATATCCAAAGCACTAAAGGCAGAATTCAAATTAGCGAAGATGTATTTTCAAATACTTAAACATGCTGCAGATCTCTTCTATTGAGAACAGGGATTGTAAATGACCTCCTTTGTTTGTAATACACCACGACTGGAGACAGATTAAGGATAAAAATCTAGCGTATTACTTTAGTAAAGTCATTAACATCATAACCTTCTAATTATAGCTAAACAATGACTTAGAATTGATGGAAATATGTCACTTAAATCCCCATTAATAGAAAAATAGATTAAAACGAAAACGAAATCATTACAAATTCCTAACTGCTCGTGTCTAGACTTGTGACTTAAATGACTCATGGACAGTGAGTAAAAAGTGACCTGTACTAAATTGTGTGGTTTTACTGTCTCGTCTAATAGCCACAGATAAGAAATCAATAAATTGCTACAATTTGCAGTCTAATTATCATTAAAAAGTCATTGTCTAGTCTCTAGGTAATGGAAAGGAAAAACAGTGATTTGTAATGTAATTTGAAAGAGAAATAATCACAATACTTTTTAAAAAACTGAATGACTTTTGTAAAGAAGAAAAAAACTAACTACAAAGAATGCTGTTGTAAACACAAACGATTAAGTGGCGCAAGTTGGACGCACTTCTCAAACACTTTTTGTGTTTGTTGAATTATTTTTTTTTATATTTATTAATCAAAAGATCAATTACTGTGTTAAACTCTAGTAAAAAAAAAAAACTCAGCAGAGACAACAACTACAAACATGTGAATGGCTGTGATCCATGTACTAACTTTTAGCTCATTCTAAACACACTTTTCTGTCAACATTTACTCTCACTTACTACTACTTTTTTTTAGTTTCAAATTGGGTTCGCTTTGGTTTTTCAGTTTTATTTTCCCACAACGATAATTTGATGGTTGTTTGTCATTGTTTCCTTTTATATTATTTTTAATTTTTTTCATTCCTTCAAATTTTTATTATATTACTTTACATTAGTCATGTTTTAAATTGTTAAGACGATACCAAAACACAATTAAGTATAACTTCTTGTCGAGTTTCTCAGCTCGGTTCCCACGTTCTGAAAAGGCTGTAAAAATGCTTTAGGAATATTAATTTGGTGAACAACAACAAAAAAGGGTCCTAATAAAACATACAAAAATTTATTGTTTGAAATTTGTTGGGAAAGAACAAAAAATTACACGTGTGTATTTATAACTAAAGGCATTTCAAAATTTCTAAAGCAATTCAATATCCTCCCTCTATTAAACTCGAATTGAAGCGTGAACATTTCTTTACAAAAAAAAAAAAAAAACAAAATCCAAAAGAAATTGAAATTCTTTAACAAACTAAATTTTTCTCCCACGATCCTAAGGCACACGTGTTCAATGCTCAATATTCTTAGTTCAAAATTTATTGTACATATATTGGAATCTTTAGTCACTTAAAACAACAACAACTATGATAAAACTTAAAAAGATAAGCAGGGAAATAAGAGCTCTCTTACCCATTTAACTACATTTACTACTAAAAACCAAAGTGATCATTAAAGAAAAGCAAAGTATATTAAGGATACACTTGAAAAGGAAAAAACGTAGTCCCTTTTCGTAATATAAAAACAACCTTCTACCAGAGTGTGGGAACATGAAGAAATGTACGTTTCTCACGATCCTTACAAAGGATAAAATTTATATTTGTTTTGAATCCCTTATGGCATTTCTCAAACCAGACCTTAAGGTGCAAGTAGACAAGCAATAAACCTGCTTTCTCTTTTTAACCTTAAGAAATTTGAAAATTTTAAAACACACCTGCCCTTTTTTTGTTTTGGATATTTTTTTTTTATGAAAAACGTATCCTTAACGTTCCCACACTTTGTGTGCGGACGGACATGACTTACTTGTGTGCTGGTATTTTTCGAAAGACCTGCCAGAGTATAAAAGGGCGAGTGAACGAAGGATAAGACATCATTCTCTTACAAGCATTCGTTCAGTAAAGAACAACCACCACAACACTTTATATTCATTCTCTCTCAAATTGTTTTAAAAACACACACAACATTTTCAATATGTGCGTAGAAATCTCAAGCCAACAACAACAACAATTCAACAAAATGGAAATCAAAAACACCAAGAAAGTCTCCTACAGCATCAAGAAGCTGTTGAAGCAACTCTTCAAACATCAAAAATCCTCCAAACTCATCACTTTACAAAATTTGGTCAACTCGAAGAAAGCTGAATCCATGGAATCTCTTGAATCTTTGGAAAATACACACAATGCCAACATTGAAGTTGAGGAATGTGCCTCTTTGGAATCATTCGAAAATGACATCAATGAACGTCTCTCAGCTAAAGCCATCTCTTGTGAAGTAGAAGACTTTGACTTCAGTGAAATCACCACCACCGTTCCCGTACACTTTGTACGCACCGAACATGGTACCTTCTTCTGGACTGCCACCTCAGACATTGCTGCCGATAATGATTTGGTTGAACCTTTGTACTGTTCCACCTACAATCAATTAGCTGTTATGCAAGATCGTTGGGCTCAAGCTTAAATTATGCTGATCAACACGATCTAACACATTCCTGCATTAGCTTTAACATGTCTTCCAAACAACAACAACAAAAATACTCAACAGCGCAGTTCCAGCTTCTTTAAATATGAAGTTTACCATCTGTGAATCATCATCGTAATCATTGTCTTCCTGTTTCGGTTAATTTTCTGTAAAAAATGAAAATTTAACTAGAAAAACACTTTAGTATTAATAGCTTTATAAAAATTGTGATATTTTTTAATTAGTTCTAAAAAAAATAATTATTTATAAACAAAAAAATATAAACAATTTATTACAAACAAAAATCTCAAACTGTTTTCTTATTTTATCTTTTTATTGTATTAGTTAGTAGTGGTTGGGCCTGGGAATTCCCTCAATTATCGGTTAAACAAACACTTTTACTTTTAGCAATGGAAATTTTTAAAACAAATATTTTTTTACTCATAAATAAAGATTCGAAATTAGTTTAATGTTAATGAGTTCATAGGTCAAACATTAATATCTCGTTAGGTTACAACTAACTACTTTCTTATCTTAGGGTTCATTTAATGAGGGTTGTTTTTCTTATCAGTTCCAAGTATTGATTACAGTAACATGTTTTAGTTCTACCTGCTAAGGTCTTCAACCTGTTTTCCTATTAGAATTGCTGTTGATCTGTTGACTAGAGCGAGATAGTGTAAGCAAGTTTTGAAATCTTATAAGCGGCCAATTAGAATTATTAGTTTACATTCACGCCGCTAGGGGACGAGGGAATGTTAAAGGTCGTATGATTACTTGGCATTGTATGAAATGTCGATGGCTATCGAGATTTTCCTTGACATTTATAAATGATCTTTTACTCTCATGAAAATCTAATCTTTAGAAAATTCAGCATAGAAATTTTTTTTAAATAGATTTTTTTTGCATACTTTTAGGATATTTTATATGTATTCCCATTTCATCTGATACTGGAGCATACTAGCATATATAAGGATTTATTAATCGTTTATGAAATGTGACCGAATTTGATCAGTATTGTATATAGATGATAAAGATCGTTCAATCGAATTTCTAGAATTGTTCAGCATTTTTGAAACACACTGAATTAAATTTGAGAAAATCTTCATTAAGAATATTATGGAATATAAGAGGGCAAATATTATTACAGATTTTAGTTGCATACTTTTGGGATTTTAACAATAAAATTGTATTTATTTTTATTAAGTCATTTAGTTTGAGAAATACAGCTAGGCTTCTATCGGGCCTGTTGTGCGCTCCTTAACCAGTGCCTATGTGGGAATCGTTGTTCTAGTCTAGTAGACCGGAGGTTTTGGGTTCGATTCCCACCTGAGCCTAAGTGTATTTCTTCGGATTTGATAACCTACCAGAGGACATCTTATAAGATATATAACCTAAATTGATCTTTTGATTGAATTCTCTGTGGAAGTGATCAGTATTTCTGAAAAAGGGAATTATTCCAAATATTATTTTTGTAGGTGATTTTTTTTTTAATTTTGGATAATTTTTTCAGAAATTATTTTGTTAATAATTTTTTTTAGACAAATTTTCCACAAAATTTTTTTTTATAAAAATTTTCAACAAAAAATTTTTTTATAAAAATTTTCAACAAAAAAATGTTTAGAAATAATTTTCTAATAAATTTTTTAGTGAAACTTTTTATAAACAAAATTTCGTGAAACTCTTTTGTGAAAAAATGTTTGGTGAAATCCTTTTTATAAAGACAATTGTTGCTAAAACTCCTTATATAAGGAACGATTTAAGAAATTTTAAACGATTAAGGACACGATATGACAAAAACTTTATGTGATAGTGAAATTTTGAGGTCAGATTCAGACTTAGTGCTCAATCCTTTAGAAAAGTATATTTTGTTCTCTGGGTTAAACCTTTGTTGGACTGTGTAATTCATTCAACTGTTTCTCACAATTACTCACAATCTATACAATTTGAAACAGAATTCTCGAAAAAAAAATTTCAAAACTATTTCTAAAGTTTTCTTATATCTAGTTTTGAGACAAATTCGTACAAAAATAATTGAGTAAATAACTAGTTCCAGAACTGTGTCGACTTCATAACGCTTAAATACAACCAGTTCTTAAGATGAATAAAAAACATTGGTTGAAATACCAAAATAGAACGAGTACAGACTATAATCATGTCATCTAGAACTAGTTGTGGAACTAAAAAAAATGTTTATTAGGCTCGGGGATTTAATTTAACTTTATTGAGTTAGATCAATATTAGATATTGAAAAATTTTTAAAAATTTATAGTTTGAGGTCCATCTTCCCATTCATAAGAGATTGTTTAGATCCAATGATATATTATATACTAGCTATATCCAGTGTGCTTTGCTATTAATAAAAAAAACCACTTAACGATTTTGAAGATTCTAACTTTAATAGTTTTCCAGATTTATAATATGTTACATATGAGAGATGTCAAGCAAATTATTGCAAGTTCGCCAGTTTCTATCTATTTATGAAAAATTCTATCTATTTATGAAAAAATTGAATAATATAAGAGTTTCCAAGATACACGAAATTTTGTCCGTTGAAAGTCCATGAAAGTCAAAGTTCTTCATGTAAAAAAGTTTCTCAGATATACGAATTTTTCTATTTGATTCATGTAGGTGCTCCTGAGATGAAAGTCCGCACTTTTTCCTCCAAAAGGTTCTGATGAATATTAAAGTAATTTGTGCAAAATTTTTTCAAGTTCTATTAGTTTTCCAGATAAACGGGAGGTGCCAGGTTCCCCATTGAAAGTCCGCCCATTATACTCTAAATGTTCAGATGAATAACAAAATTCTTCAAGTAAAATTTGAAGATTCTGACTGATAGTTTCTCAAATATACGAATTTGTCCGCTTTTTCCACCAAAATGTTTAGATGAATATTTCAATTCTTCGTGCAAAATTTTAAGAATTTAGTTCCATTAGTTTCCCAGATAAACGAATTTTTGTATTTAATTAATATGGTCCGCCAATTTACTACCTAAAATGTTTAAATGAATGTTAAAGTTATTCGTGCAAAATTTTAAGATTCTAACTGTAATAGTTTCCAAGATAAACGAATTTTTGTATTTAATTTGTATGGGAGGTGCCACGCCCCCTAATTCTAGTCCGCCTACTTTTTATCCTAAATAATCATATTGGCACTAAAGTAACTCCGACAAAATTTGAGGACTGTAACTGTTATATTATCTCAAATATACGGATTTAATATTTTCTTAATAAGGGCGTGGCTCCTCGTCCACTTGGAATTACAAAAAGTAACCTATTACATTTGAAAAAAATTTCGAAGAAAATCGGTTAAGCCGTTTAGTAGTCTATAACGTTCAAACATACAAACAAACACACATTCATTTATACATATATACATATATAGATAGAAAACCATTTATCTTAATATTTCGATTTGATTTCGATAGGTCGGAATACAAATAAACACATTCGAAAATTACTGTACATATTATTTGCATTATTTATAAGTAGTTTAGTAATGACTAGGTAATACCCGGATATATAAGTCAAAATTTATTATATAAAACTGAATCAAAAACATCTGGGCTTTAAGTTCATATTGTCAGTACCTTATTGAATCGGATTAGAGTTTTATCTTTATTATAAAAAAAATAACTCTGACGCCATCTATCGGACAATATCAAAAGTTCACATGAAACCCCTTCAAGTCCCTTATATCTTATTACGAAGAAGCAGGCACCGAGAGTAAGAATTTAAATTGCGGCACTTTTAACTCATTAAACAAATCGGAGGCTTGGGCAAATTTTTACTAATTCCTTGTCTTTAAAATAAACTTAAACTTTCATTCTTTTGATACATTGAGTTTGAAAGAAACCTCATTTAAATAAAACTCTTATTTTCTTAAAATTTTAAGTAATTTTTTAATTTACAAGTAAAAATTTAAAAATCTTTGTTATACTAGTTTTAAATTCATTATATAAATAATAATTCAAGTAAGATTTGGTTTTGCAAAATCCAAATAAATAAAATATCTTTCAAGTAATTTACTAATAAGTAGTACTATTAATTAATTAAATATATCACAGCTTTAATATAATTATATATTTAGTTATTTACACAATGGATAGAGCTTCACTGGTGCCAACAAGTGTGTCAATTATTATTATTATTATTTAATTTATGGTGGAAGACTAAAGATTCTGTTGTTTCATACGATTTGATATCGTTTTTAGATAATTTAGTTTTAAGTATTATTTAATATTTTAAAGGAAGGAGTCAGATGACAGGAAACAGTAAGAGTTGCAATTTAGATTTTGCACATTTCCGTAGATTCTTTTTGCCAAGGTCGCCAAACGGTTTCGGAATTGCTGGAATCGCTAGATAATACTGAATTGGTATCCATGGAATTGTTATCCACTGTGATAATATCAATCATATCATTTTCCTTCAAATCATCTGTGATGTTATTATCCATTAGTTGGTTTGTCTTAGCTGTTGTGTGATTGTAATGAGGTGATGTTGTTGCTATTGTAGATCCTAAAGATTTGGTTTGATCTCTGAAAATGACATTATCGAAAAATGTCTTTTGCATGGCTGGCGAGGAGGAGGAAGTATTGGTACTGGAATGTATTAAAACATTGTGTTGCATATCCATAAGGCGCGAGGATAAGAATTTCATTAATTTGCCCTTCACCTCATCGTCAATGTATTGCTGCAGCAATACTTGAGAAATTTGATCGGCAGCATGCACATAACCCGAACGAAAGGATTCAACATGGGCATTGAGAGTAGTGGTACGTAAAGCCAAATTACCGCGCTGTTTCAATTTGCGCATGTGTTCCACAGTTAATTCCAATATATCGGCTTTCTCCAAACGCGTAACATGTTCACCCTCTTGGGTTAAACATTCCACCATTAAATCCTTAAGATCGTCCAAACACTTGTTGATGCGGGCGCGTCTTTTTCTTTCAAGCAAAGGTTTCATTACCTTGCGATACTGATAGGTTTTGGACATTTCCATGACCATAATTTATTTAAAATTTTTTTCTTATAATATTTAGTTTAATTTTAACACTTTTATCTTAAAAAAAAAGAATTTTTGTTTAGACGTATTCTTGTTTTTTTCCCGATTTTGTTTTTGCGATCGTTTTCAGCACGATGTTTAAAGCTTGAGTTTTGTATTTGAAATGAGACCTAATCTTGTTGGGTATTTAGTTTTTATATTATGCTTTCAAAATTCTCCTATTTGTGTTTAAAATGTGTTTTTTTTTTGTTTTTAAAATTTTCTCACACTGTTGCTGGTTGTTTTGTTTGTTGTGAACCCATAGATACGAACGAATGAATGTTGCTGTCAGTCGTTCGGTCGTTTGGTCGGTCTGTCAGTTTAGTTGTCTGTCTATCTGAATGTGTTTTTAAATATATTAAGCGAACCGTAACAGACATACAGAAACTGAATAAGAAATATTCATTGGTTTGTTCCCATTGGGAAAGATATCACTAGGGTTGCCAAGAAATTTGTTGCTGTCTGAATTGCATTTATTTGGTTATTGAACCGGAAAGTACATGTTGCTGCGAATAAGGGAGGGTGGTTGAACAACAAGTGTAATGAAAATTCCAGAACATTGATTTCTTTTAATTTTAATATTAAGGGGTGAATTAGAGTTTTTCATTTAATGATACATCGAAATTTGATTTGATACTGGTATTCATCCGATTCGATTAATACTTTGCTAACTATTTTGATATATAAAATCAATTTTGTTAAGCTTAAAAAAACGCTGTATACTATCCAAGGATCCTTAGGGTCCGTTGTAATAGTCTAAGCAATTCGAAGAGGAAATTCTTATAGAAGCCTCTATTTGGTTAATTATCCAATTAGCCGCTTAAAACTATCATTATAAAGTCACTAGGTTGCAATACTCTAAATGATCCGCGAATAGAATCGAAGAAAAGAGAAGTTTCTTAAAAAAAAACGCTGGATCCTATCCAAGGATCCCTTGGGTCCGTTGTAATATTCTAAGCAATTCGAAGAGGTGCGTAAAAATAGGAAATTTTTTTAGAACCCTATAGGTGGTTAATTATCTAAATAGCCGCTTAAAAATATCATCATAAAGTCACTAAATTGTGATACTCTAAAGGCTCCGCGAATAGAATCGAAGAAGTGAGAAGTTTCTATAATCATTCAAAAACTATTGGAATTAAACAAAGAGTTACTCAGAATCGGGTTTTGTAACTCCTGCTTAACTTCTATCTAAGTGTGGCTTACGGTCGTATTACTAGTAATTCTGGACATTCACAGGTCCTGTAATTATCAGTAGTTGCCAAATATATGTTTTATGTTATGAAAACTAAATCTTTATATATATAGGGAATTATATAAAAAATCAAGAAAGAGGTCCATAAAGAAAAATTGTGATCGTGAGAATACTGCATGCTAAAGTTGGATCGTCAGTCATTGATGACGATTTTAGCGACCGTTAAGACAATCTATTAGACTTGGATTACTCGGCATAAATTAATGAAAATTTCTTAAAATAAATGTTAAAAATTTATATAATCTACTGAGACTCGATCGGATCGTCAGTCATTGATGACGATTTTAGCGATCGTTAAGACAATCTATTAGACTTGGATTACTCGGCATAAATTAATGAAAATTTCTTAAAATAAATGTTAAAAATTTATATAATCTACTGAGACTTCAAAATTTTGCTACGATTCTTATACAAAGGCTCGAAGGACCATTTCTACACATTAAAGCTCTTGACAATTAGTTGTAATTATATTATTCTAGATCTATCAGTTTGGTGATATAAAATCTGTCTGTTGAGCCGGGTGTGACAATTTAACTATATATTATAGATTTTAAATAAAATGTTCACTAAAATCCAAGTTTTCTCCAAAAGAAAACGTCAATGACGTGCTTATCGACCTTGACTTTACAGTTTCAATGGAATGCTTTTATTAAATTTTTTTTTTAGATTTCTCACTAAAATATCAATTTTACAAAAGTTTTGATTTTCGTTAGACATACAAATTTTTACTAAAAATTCGAGATGTCACTTAAAACTCAATTTTTGCTAAAAATTCAAATTTTCACTAAAAAGTCAAATTTTTTCTAAAAATTAAAATTTTCACAAAAATTAAAATTTTCACTAAAAATTTAAATTTTCACTAAAAATTAAAATTTGTGGAATAAATCCATATTTTTACTAAAAATTTAATTTTCGATAAAAATTTAAATTTTTCCTAAAAATTCATATTTCCACTAAAAAGTCTAATTTAATTAAAAATTCAAATTTTGAAATTCAAATGTTCACAAAAAATTTACCAAAAACCAAAATTTTTCAAAAAATTCAAATTTTTTACTATAAAACTGAAATTTTCAAATATTCAGAAAAATTTTAAGTCAGTCACGAATTCGATCCCAGAGTTTTTACTAGTAGGAGTATCTAATCCGAAGAAATACAAATAGGAAGCCATTTAGTGCTCCTTTACCAGTGTCTCTATTGGGAATAGAACCTACGATCTCCGCTCTAACAGACTAGAACACTAACCCACCGGAGGTAAACGTTCTCAACCGAGCGCTCCTCTAAACACTAAACCACCGTAGACAAACGGATTCTGTCCGCCGAGAGGATTCGAAACGACCATTAAAAATTTTGAATTTCTGTAAAAATCTCAAAGTCCTTTTTAAAATTTATAATGTACCATTTATAACATGGCAACTCTGTTCATTAAATATTACTCATTATCTCTCTCTTTTCTCTTTATACACAAATCAACTACTTTATTGAAGTCCCATTGCTACCGATCATTGTATGCACTTTGGCTTCGTCGAATGCTACGCTTGTGCCAATAAGAGCATACAGATCTTTTTTTCATCGTGTATGCACTATAAATTTTCTAAAAAAGTGTAGCCAGAAAGTGGGATTTGAAATAAATGTATAAAGGAATCAAAATAAAGAGCCTAATTCTCCTGGAACCAAATCAAGATCAGGCATTTTAATATCGAAATTACTTTTTCATACAAAATATAATTCTTTTTCGAATGGGGCAATTCGGGTTATGGATTCTCTTATCTCTTATTTCAATATTATAATGGCAAATTATTGATTAGAGGATATCGGATATTGAAATCTTAAAATTTTTTTTAAATACTCGACATTAAAAAGTCTATTAGTAGTTCTTTAATATTGGCGTTTCTTCCGAATTCTTAAAAAAATTTGTATGAAATTTTTAAATATCGATTAGGATTGAACACTTTAATGAAAAGTGTTCGGATTTTGTTGTATTATATTTAACAAAATCAGAATATTAAGTTCTTAACTCTGAAAATTTACAAGTTTCAATAAACTGCAGCCAACTTCACGCATAACCTCATAACATAACCTACAAATCTATTAATAAGTAATCACTTCTATTAAGCCAAGTTTTTTTAAACAAGTTTAAAAGCCATATAAATCAAAATGTGGCATCATTCTCCGGCCTCTCTTACTCACAGTTGGCCATTGATCGCACCAAAAAAAAATAAACAAAAACCGTATACTCATCAAAGCTGGGCATGTCTTGTTTATTGTCAATGATGACAGTTCTCTGCGGCCGCTGTCGTATGTTTTTTATTTTATTTCGTTTTTTATACAATTTTTTTTTGTGTTTTTTATACCCATTCGTATATTTCTTTGTAAACTAAGTACGCAATATACAAGACCGTGGGAAACAGATTTGTCGTGTGTTTCCCACACGATAGACGGATGGATGAATTGCGATGTGATGCGATGCGATGCGATCCGATGGATTACTCAAAAAAGCAGCAACAAAAAACCAAAGCAAAGCAAAACAACAACAAAAAATCGTAACAACAGCAACTAAAACACAAAAACTGTTTACCAACAGAGAGAAGGCCAGATATACAAATGTGTGTAATGATTGCGTGATATTAACATTACAATAGTAATTAACAAATTATGGTTTTCTTTTGTAAACACTACTATAGTTAGTATTTTTGGTTGTTTTGTAAATTAATACGCCTGTTGACGCTTCGTTTTATTTATTTCTACTGCTTCAAATGATAATACAAATTCGTAAGTTCTCATGGCTTTTAAGACGGTTTAAATGCAAATGTTAATGTTGTTAATAAATAAACAAATTGGAAATGAATTAACATACTCGACCTGAAAGTTGTTTTTTCGGATATAGGAAAGGAAAAGAATTATTAATATTATTTTAAGTAGTAATATGTTTTGGGGTTTTATGCATGTTTTTTATGTTTATTTCCGTAAATAAAAAAGTTGATTTTCCTAATAACCGTGGGTAAATCTAGTAAAAGTTTATGTCGGAGTAAATTACATAAATTGATTAGAGTCAATAAAACTAAAAATTTCGTTAGTCAACTTAAGTTTCTTTAGTTCATTGATCTGTTGTATAAATTTTATGGGAAATTAATTAAAGTTAAAATGCTGTTAAAAGGCGTTAAAATCTTTGACAGAACATACGAACGAACGAACGAACGAACAAACTAACTAACTAACTAACTAACTAACTAACTAACTAACTAACTAACTAACTAACTACTAACTAACTAACTAACTAACTAACTAACTAACTAACTAACTAACTAACTACTAACTAACTAACTACTACTAACTACTAACTAACTAACTAACTAACTAACTAACTAACTAACTAACTAACTAACTAACTAACTAACTAACTAACTAACTAACTAACTAACTAACTAACTAACTAACTAACTACTAACTAACTAACTAACTAACTAACTAACTAACTAACTAACTAACTAACTAACTACTAACTAACTAACCAACTAACTAACTAACTAACTAACTAACTACTAACTAACTAACTAACTAACTACTAACTAACTAACTAACTAACTAACTAACTAACTAACTAACTAACTAACTAACTAACTAACTAACTAAACTAACTAACTAACTAACTAACTAACTAACGACTAACTATACTAACTAACTAACTAACTAACTAACTAACTAACTAACTAACTAACTAACTAACTAACTAACTAACTAACTAACTAACTAACTAACTAACTAACTAACTAACTAACTAACTAACTAACTAACTAACTAACTAACTAACTAACTAACTAACTAACTAACTAACTAACTAACTAACTAACTAACTAACTAA